TCAACACGGTACGACATAAAAACATGACACGCGACACGCTTACATTAAATGACGAGGCTGTGGCCTTGGCGGACGCAATAACTTCCCCGACTGCGAATGATTATACCGGGAGGCGATATATTTGCTCGTATTCTGCAGAAATCTACAGCACGGCAGTGCTCTCATTACGTTAGGCTCGAGAACAATCGTTTCGTTCGAATCGTGCCTCCCGGACTCGGAACTGGCGATTTACAAAGATGATCGCGTTCGTCTCACCGTAACCTGCAGTTCCTCGTCTCGACTCTTCTGTCTCGCAGTCATCTCGCTGATTTTTCATTCTGCGTCCTTCTCACGTGTTCTCGCTTGGCGGGCCACAGCACAAGTGCCGGGCGCTGATCTTCCTGGGGCACGCAGGGCTCGTTATCCCCGCGAGGGGGCCTTATCGCGCCTTATTGGCGCGTAACGCCGCGGCTCCGCTAATCGCGAGAACCGTTTCATGCCCGTGTCGCATGTCCTGGCGCACGGAATTCGAAGGACCGCAGGATCTTCTCGGGCCGCCTCGAGACCTCGAGGCGCCTTCTCGGGGCTCTCGCCGTCTTTGGGGCATAGAGTCCCCATCTTGCCATTTCAGTCCTCGTACCGCCTTGTACCTAGAAGATGATGCGATAAAAGGTGTCTTGCGACAACAAAAAGGGCGAAATAATGAATGATATCACCTGCGTGCTACTCGGGGGACAAGGTGTCGTGCGCCCCGGCAAATCCGTCAGCAGCGGTTGTTACTCGGCTTCCAATCTTCGCCGTCTTCCTTCTCCTCTCTTCACGGTCCGATGAGGCGGCGTCAATCTGCCAAGATCGTGAGAGTCGCCAGTTCCATAACTCTCAGTACGGAAAAGTACAAAAAAAGGAAACGAAAACGGTAACGTGAAACGCGTGAGACACGCAAGTAACGTCGCGAAAAAGCGCAGATGCGTCTGCCCCCTAAAATGTGGAAGAACTCAGGACACTAGACTGCACTATTCGATCGGGTCGTGCGAACCTTGGAAAGGAAAACGTCACAATATATAGCGTCACAATATATAGCGATAAAAAAGTTGTGTAACGCGTATAACTTGTTACTTTACAAATGTCTATATTATTTTCATACAAGTGAGAAGTTGTCGCTTCATATCGTTGACTGTACTACGACGAACGATTATGCTATTATTCTTCCGAACGAGAACGATAAGTGGTTATCGTTTCGTGGTCATAATAAGAAGGAGCGACTTCTCTTTGTGGTTTATGCCGATTTGAAGTGTATACTGGAGAAGAAGACCAATGATGAAAACATTTCGAGATTTACCTATCAGCATCACAAGGTTTTTAGCATAGGGTATTACATATATTGTGTATACGATGAAACTATTTCGATATACAAATCTTATCGCGGCGAGGATTGCGTATCGTGGTTTATCAAGGAATTATACGATTTGGCGCATCGCGCGAAAATAATATTCGATAAGAATGTGATTATGGCGAAGTTTATATCGAACGTCGAGTGGGAAAAATTTCGAAACGCGACTCACTGTCATATCTGTGAAAGACCATTTGAGGAAGGAGATTGAGATTTCGCGTACGCGATCACTGTCATTTAACCGGACGTTATAGAGGTCCTGCACATTTACGTTGTAATTTACATTATCAAGATACGTACGTTATTCCTGTATTCTTTCATAACTTGGCAGGTTATGATGCACATTTTATTATAAAAGATATTGCTAATAGTTTTGCGGGTAGAGTTGACGTGTTATCTATAACGAAAAAAAATTATATATCGTTTACGAAACATGTCAAGGATACAGTAAACTTAAAGTGGGGAACGGACTGTGTGAAATTGCGTTTTGTGGATTCGTTCAAATTTCTCCATACTAATCTCGAGAAATTGGTATCATATCTCGATAAGAGTAAATTGAAAATCATACGATCGGAATTTTCCAATCTTGACGCTGAGGATTTTGATCTACTTACGCGGAAAGGAGTGTTTCTGTACGAGTATATCGACAGCGTTGATAAGCTAAACAAGACTAGTTTACCACCGCGTGAGTTGTTTTATAGTTCGTTGACCGACGAGACTGCTTCCGATGACGAATATCAACACGCGACAAACGTTTGGCGACGTTTTTGCATAGAGACTCTCGGCGATTATAGTGATTTGTATTTCAAGACAGATGTGCTTTTATTAGCAGATGTTTTTGAAAATTTTCGTGATACGTGTATTGAGAGTTACGGATTGGATCCGGCGTATTATAATAAAAACAAACGAAAAAATATTAATCAGCGAAATATTCTCCGTTTGC